TTCTTAATAAATTTCCTCACATAAATTTCGCCTAATCTATAAACCAATTTTAAACAAAATCCATCATGCCAGGCACTTTGCATCTTATTCTATTTATTGCACTATTTCTCATCAGAAACCTTTTAGCTTTAATGCTATTCCAAGGCAGACTATCTCATTAGGGTGGCAGAGATAAAGTTCTTTTTGAGATAAAGTAATTATAGTGATTGTAGGGGAAATATCATCCAAACTTCTTGGCTGCAGTAATCCCCTGGCTTCTGATTAATTTTAAGAGTAAAAAACTCGGTGCAAACAAAAAGATGTTAGTGCTGGATAATTCCGGCCACCCACCCTGGGTGCTGGAGAGGTTTTCCAACGTGTAGCTTTAATCAGAAGCTACGGTTTTGGTGGGCTTTTCTTTCAGGCAAATATCCCAAGGCAATGTATGCACAGGTGGACATTCTATTGACTCTACTGCTCTATCCTCTAAGTATCATCGGAGACAAAGACTTGACTCTAAAAACACCTTTTGTGTATTTGACGCTTATTTTCACTTAGATAAGTCATTTCTTCTCATCATGCGATGATTTAGTCTTTTTCGTGAGGAAAATGACATCCCCTGGGATTTATTTGGGCGGTCTGAGAGTGGAGGTGGGAGGGGCCTGCAGTGGAGAGAGGGGCCACTAGGTAGGGTTAGAGAGGCACAGCCCGCAGGGAGCCTAGAACATCCCACAGAGCAAAAGAGCCTCCCTATCAGCAGCAACTCTAACGCAAGTGCCCAGTCCAGCCACGGTGTTAGAGGTCTCCCACACTGCCTTGGTTGCCCTGAGCAGGTCCTAGGGAAATCCGTGGAACAGTGACATGAGTCATTTTAAATTACCAATTTAACTGCTCAAAAATACAACCAGAAACAATAGCAATGCCCAGAGCAACCCCTGCTGGGCTCACCCCATCTCATTCCTGCATAGCCCCAACTGGGTAATCTTTGAAGAAGTAGTTGAAAAACTGAATGCCTGGCATGTTTTTTGTTTTTGATTTTTTTTTTTTCCCAATCAGCCGAGTTCACTATTTTCCAGTGAGTACTCACATTTCTAAAGAGTATCTCCATTCAGTTGAAACCCTGGCCGAGGTCACCGTGAAATGGAAAGGATATTTTGATTTGGAAATGGTAGAGAACCTGATGTGTGAGTTGATTCTCAACTCACTTGCAAGGTCATGTCAAAACCCCAGACTCCGATGTCCTTTCGTGACAGAGATGGCTAACATCCATCTTCCTTGCCGGTTTATTGGGGACAGCACATTAAAGGTGAAGTGTGGTTGAAACTAAAGCACCTGGTGCGAATGGCTCCTTGCTGCTGCATGCCCAGTGTAGGTAGAGTTGAGGAGATACTGGCATCAGTAATGAGTATCTAATAACAACAAGACGTTTAGAGGTGACCACAGAGACACAATATGGGCACGTGGCTCTTTGCAGACAGACAGAGTTCTCTAGACAGGAAAAATGAAAGTGTATGCTCAAAAAAAGTAACTCAGCTGGCTAAGATGAGTCTCCCTTTCCTCCTTTAGGAATATCTCCGCATATGTTCTTAAATTAACCACACACTAAATGCTTGCAATTAGTCACCTACTGAAGACTCCATATTCTCGTATTTTCACAGACGCAGGATACTGTATAAGCTGTGGGTTTTTATAAAGAATTGAAAAATGAAATCTAAGAGGTGACTAGTATTTATGTGGAAACCATGCCCCTTGGCAAAAGCCAGCAGCTGCTCCCATGAGCACCACAGTGATGTCCGGCAGGCTAGGCTAGAGCGCCACTGTCCACCACTGAGGGTGTAGCTTTACTGTGAACTGTCATTCCAATGACAGAACCGACTTGTCTGATCTCTGCTATGGACCAGTTACATAAAATCTGAAATATGGATGAGAAACCATCTTTGAAGTATCCTGTTCCCATTTCCCATAAGTCCTTAAGAATGCTTTCCATGAGTGTTTTAGTATGTGGAAAGTAGTTAGGTAACAGACCGCTGATTGCTGGATTTGTACAGTAGACAGTCTATCCTAGGAAAGATCAGGGCTGTGGGCAAAGCAGAGAAGACTTTTTGCTCCCAGCTCCAGCATTTGATACCAATGTGACATCAGGGTCTTACTTAACCTCATGAAGTCTCTTTGTTAGAGGCTCACCACTCAGTTAAAGTGTCATAAAAATCAGGAAAAAGCGCAGATACAGAAACACAAGGAAGAAAACTAGGAATCTGTTGCAAAAGCATCATAATAAGGTAACAGAGTTCTAAAATGCCAGACAGGCTTTCCAAAGGGTGGGGGCTCCATGGAGTCAATGCATGAAGGCTCAGAAACGGATTTGATGTTCAACATTATCTGCTTGTGCTGTGCGGGAGAAACACGGAGTGAGCTGATGAGGGTAAAGTGAGGGACAGTGACAGGCGATCTGGCCAACGCAGACAGATGGGGCAGTACACAGTGTAGCACAGTGTAAGGACAAGCAAAGCAGTGGCGGGAATGGAGGGCACCTCAGGCCGTCTTGGGGACGGCGGGTGACACACCATGGCTCCGGGGAATGGTCCTAGAAAGCAGAGTGCTGGGGCTCAGTCTTTGAGGATGGCGAAGCTGCTGGAAGGTGGAATCCTAGCCGCGTCTGAATCAATGAGGTTAAGAGAGCGTCTGTTCTCTGAAAGGAATGGGCCAAAGCCTGGACTGCCATACCAACTCACAAACAAACATACACACGTGTGTGTGTGTGTGTGTGTGTGTGTGTGTGTGTGTGTGTGTGTGTGTGTGTGTGTGTGCGTGCGCATGATGATGCGATACTGGCGATAAAGAGGTTGACACCTTTAGATGTGTCATGAATACTGTCTTGAGCATTCTTTATATTGACATAATCTCCCGATCAACCAAAGATACACACAGTTATATCAGTGGATGACTCTTCCCAAGTTGACAAGGGCAGGACACAGGGAACTCTCTGTGTTCTAGGGCCACTCGGGCTCCACAGCTATTTTTCAGTCAGACACTAGGCTGCCCCTCTGACTGACTCTTGGGTGCTTATCACATCCAGGCTCTGGTCAGCATCTAGTCTCAAGACACCATGCAGTGCCTGGAGACAGAGGCTCTAAGGTTTAGTTGCTTTTGTTTGTTAGTTTATTTGTTTTTGTTGTGGCTATTCTTCTTCACCATTGGTCCTTCATGGAGCACATTTTTCAAATGACGAACTTCACATAAAACTGTACACTTATGATTCTCTTGACTAAAAACAAAACAGAACATCGACACGATGAGTCTTATCCCATTGCTTGCCAGTCTGGGCCTCTCCATGCCCCAGGATCCTCCCCACCCTTACTAACCCAGATCTAACTTTACATTGTATCATCTGATTTCTATGTCTTGTGTGTGTGTGATCCTTAGGTATATATACATTTGTGTGGAGAGAGAGAGAGAGCGCGCTCAAACTATCCCCAGAGCTGTGAGGATCACACATTCCCAGTGCTACTGCCCACTGCCACATCAACATCACAGTCTGCTGTCATGTCCACAACAGCTGTCCTCTTGGGACAGACCAGACTGGGGTGTTGAGAGGACGCAGAAGAGATGAACACGGGGAGACACAGACATACAGACAAGCTGAGACGGGGTGGACCAAACAGACAAGCTGAGACGGGGTGGACCGACATCTCTGGCGGAGAAGCTGCAGGAGCCTGGGAACTCGGTGTGTTTATTACAGGCATTGGACAGAGGGGTGGAGCCACTGCGTACAGCTAACATGGAGGCAATTACACGCAGATGGATAAGGAGGCAGGGTTAGAGTACACAGCTGAAGAAGGAAACAGGTTTAGCTCATCTTGGTAGGAGCAGTTTCTAGAGCGGAGCAGCCTTCAGGTGGTAAATACCTGGGGTGTGGTGGGGGAGGAAAGCAACTGTAGACGTTTTCTGAATACACTAGCGACACGTGTACATGGGCCAGGGAGAGACTGTACTGTCCCTCTGAGCCTCGCCCAATGAGCGGGAAGGCTGCGCCATTTTCCAATGGGTCCTTGGCGTGGCCAGCTCATGGCAACAGCGGACTTTCACTCAGGGCTTGACACACTCAAGGGCTCCTGTACCTCCCACAGTCTGCCACTGAGCCACGGCGTGGCACCCTTTCAGCAGCTGCTCTTGTGTTTCATAGCAAAGCGTGGCGAGCCTTTTCTCAAAATAAATATTCGGGCTCTAGTGGCTACCCTGCCTGTATCCGTGCACACAGCTATAGACAACCGGCACAGAGGAGGTGGCCCGGGTTTCACCAAACTTTACTTATGGTCAGTGTCAGAGAATGGCGTGGGTTGCCCGGTGGCATCCATCTTCTTATCCTCTCCCCGCCCCCAACGGTTTAAAAACAGGAGAACAAGTCTGGGTTGCGCTGCAGGCGGGAAGCAGAAGGCTGTGGCTGCGGGTCTACAACCGTCCCCCCTACTCTCACTATTATTAGCGGTAAGTTGTCGCCTAATCGATCAACCTCGGCGCACTGTTCCTAGATGAACCCTCTAGAGTATTCTGACATGTGTAGCCAAGCTGCCGCCACACAAGTCCAAATATGGCACATTTCCAGTACTCAAAGGCGCTCCTTCAGAGTCTCCTCCATAAAATACCCCATCACATTGTGAGTCCATTACTTCTAAATAGGCTCTACCCAGACTTTCCTTGGATTTGAGCTGGAAAAAGACGTGTGTGTGTGTGTGTGTGTGTGTGTGTGTGTGTGTGTGTGTGTGTGTGCTATATGTAGCTGAGAGACTAAGCTGTACACCAGCTGAACTTAAAGAGCAGAGAGAAACCCAGAGGAAAGGCTGTGTTTGATATGAAATGTGAAGGCCATCATTCAGCAATCACAGTTTTCCAGAAGAACGTCTCACTTTCGATGTGAGGACCCTTGGTCAGAATCGGGGAAGGGGGCTCCACAGAGACACAGAGTCATGCTTATTAACCCAGGCAAGAGCAGTCTCATGAGGACAATGCCCTGGCTCCCTTACCTGGGCCAAGGTGAGGGTTGCTTGTCTGCAGGTGCCGCACTGAACTCGGAGCTTTCCGGGCTGGACTCTGTGGCAGGGCTCTTTGCAGTACACATAGAAGCTGTTGTAGGTGGGTTTGAGTGCTGGAAGAAAGAGAGGACCCAATCAGTGCTAGGCCAAACTTGAGCCAAGACACCCTCTACAAAAGCGTGTTAGAGGCAAGCCACACAACTAACTCCTCAGGAACACATGAGATTAGGACGAAAATTTCAGTGAGGACATAGCAATTTAGAAAACTTGGTTTTATGTTGAAGAGTAGAAGACCTTTCTTCTTGCCAACAGCCCGGTGACCTACTCATCAGAGTTCACAGCCCCCTGTCAAGAGCTAGGCCTGAGTGTTTGCTGTACCGGGAAATTAACCGATGCCTTCGCTGCTGAAGGCTGGGACTAGGATAGAAAATTCTGAGTCTGGGAAATGCAGAGGCTGCTGCCCTGGATTTTATTTCACGCTTCTGAACACAGCAGCGAAGATTCAAGATCTTTTCTTCTTAGAATCATATCTGCTCAGCCGATGCAGCCTTTCTCTCATAATGTGAGTGAGTGGACCACTGTTGACGCCTTTCTAGGGAACACTTGCCAAAAGCCAGTAACACAAAATAAGAGTCCCGAGCACCATGCAGCTTAGCAGATCCTGCAGAAGTGCAGCCGGTGCAGCTGTGCAGCCCACACAGACACAAAGATATGCAGATGTGTATATCTGTGCAGATGTGTAGCTACGCAGGCTTTGCAATTTGCTAAAGGTCTCTCTAGCTGGACCACTGCCTTTCAAACAGAGTATTCCCAAGTGTAAAGAAAAAAAAATCAATCAGATCATTTCTCCCAAGTGTTAATATATCAAAGTGTTACTCCTTAAAATAAGGGAACCTTGTGGATACTTTAGGCTTCTGTGTCTCAAAAATCACTGAATATGAGCTCTTAGGGTATGATGCTTGCTTTCTAAACCCCTAAGTTTCCAAACCTACTTGATAAGTTTTACATAACTGTTGCTGTGGTGGGATGCCAAATTGTCATGACGTAAACATTTGTTTACATTTTTAACCATTGTCAGAAGCATCTAGTAAGAGTAAGTATTTCTTGTGATCACACGAATGAGAAGTTTGGTCACTCAAACGCATACAGTTGACTGAAAAGAGAAAACAGCGGAAGACCTTGCCATTTGTTCCCTCAGCTTTGCAAACTCTGCTGCCGAAGAAGAAGAAAACAAAACAAAACAAACAAACAAAAAAAAAAATCCTGTGTAAAACAGAAGATAACGTAAGGAGCATTCTGATGCTTTTTCAATATATTATATAACGGCTGCTCCTCAGCAATGACTAGCTGCCCGTGTGAAGGGGGAAGTCAGACGATACAAACATGTTTGTATTGATGATATCTATTTTGACCCCTCTCTGTCGCTTATAGTGCCTTTGGGGGCAAGATTTCCAAGTTATGAATATCACATTGTTATCAGCAAATATAATTATTTCATGAAATATATGTAGATCATGCCCGAAACAAAGAGACATGAGTCAATGTTACAGTAACTGCACTGTAGTAGACGACTGACTATCAAATGATCACAGAAACAGTGACAACTCTAACCTGTGTTAACCCTGTGAAGGATTTCAAATTTCCTCACTGTTAAGACTTTTCAGCAATGGGGAAAAAAAAAAAAAAAAAACGAGCCCTACAATTTTCATAACCCTCTGTGAAGCTTGAAAAATAAAAATAGAGAATGGATAAAAGAAAAGCCAAAGCTTTTGGGAGCGGAGTCTGGGCTTCACTTGGGGCACTGTGAGCAGAGGAGATGACCAAGTGCTCGGTATTGAAAGGAGCCTGGCCCAAGCGCGGGGCCTGCAGACTCTGCTCTTCCTGTACAGCAACAGCAGTGTCTGAGCTATTGTTTGAGCTAATGATGCATCAGGGGAAGACAGGAGCCCTTCGGCCTCTGCATGCTTCAACCTTCACCAAGTCCTTGAGAAGCCACTCACAGAATGCTGCGTGCCATGGCGGTGCCCTGGAAGTCCACGGGATGACATGCAATCCATTACACCTTGCTATCCAGAGCCAGCCGATTAACAGCCAGTCTAAGGGAGATCAAGGTCAGGGCAGTCGCGACTGAAGCACATTTCAAGCTGCTGGCTCCATTCAGGCAAGCAGCTGAGGCTTCAGGGGAAACACGAGAGCCCCTTTCAGAGTGGGCCCCCTGCCTTGCTGGCCGTGTGACACAATTTACAGTGGGCCAGCTTCTTTGGGTCCCACTGTGGCCTGGAGTATACTGGGCAGGAATGGGAGCAAATGCCCCCCCAACTTTGTAGACAGTGTTACCGCTGGCTTGGCTGAAGAGTCTGCAGCTGAGGCTCTCCCAGGGTCCTCACTGCAGAGACCACCGCAGGCAGGCTGACTCTGGGAGAGCCGTCATAAGCCAACCAGGCAGGCGCCTCTAGTCACTAAGGGCCATCCTCCATTTCCACTTCTTTTCGGACCTTGAAGATCTCTGCTCTCCTAATCCCGAGATCTCTCCTTCATTACCCAAAGTAACTGAATTAGCCAAATTTATAACACATCCCTCTTTTCATTTAATGTGCTTAGACCTACAGAAACTGTTAAGCTGTCTACCTTTTTTGAAGTTTACCAATTGTGCTCATTTTGGTGGGCGTCCTGTATGCATCTGTACCCTGGATAGATGCGCAGTCTTCACGTACATACTTCTGACTAATTTTCATGATTAAGTTGCCTACAATAACACGTCCATCTTAAATCCCGCAGCATCTTGATGGCAAGGGCTTTTAAAAACACAGAACCACAGAAGGTTTAAATGGTTTGTGTGAATTTAGATCTCTAACCACATAGACTGAGAAGTGACGTTCAATAAGCAGAAACTTGGAAAGCTGTTAAGACACAATGTTGGGGTGTTGTTGTACAAGTCCAAATAATGCACATGGAATTTGACTAATATGGTTCCAAATTAAATTCATGCAGTAGAGACTTCCTGAATCGCCACCTCTACATAGCGCCTCATCTGGAGTCACCAAAGGATGTAGAATTCACCCACCTGTAAATCACAAGTGAGAAGAAGTTGCTCAGCTAGGCAGGTTAAACACAGAAGTGTGGTCCTTCTACTAGGACCCTCCCTCTAGAGAACCACAGACACAGTCTCCGGAAGGCTATTGGTGAAAAGATAAAGGATGCTACCTATCCTCTCAGCTCTCTCCTTATGGTCGGGTAAAGTGACTGTCTCCCTGTCATGCCGCTGAATCCCTCATGGCACGTTCTGTTCTGTAGCTGCTACTGGCCCTAAGCTCAGCCTATTTGTATTTTGTACTAAATGTAACATACTTGTCCCATTCTTCCTAGGGATACAACCACCGTGTACGATACCATTTTATATGGCCCGAAAGCTAAGAGAAGAACCTTGAACTTAATTAAAAATACGTATCTGTTGGGTCGGTACATTCCCCTACAACTTCAAGTGCTATAAAAGTTTTAGGTCTGGCAGTGTGAAGGCAAGCAGTAACCTAAAACTTGCTGCTATGACTATCAAATTCTTAGAATATCTCTCTGCCAGACAAACTCCACAGACTGATTCCATACATCCTGCAAAATGTTAGAATGTAACTCGTGAAATTCATGTTGACACTAATGGCATCACAGAACTGAGTTACACAGAAAAAATAATTATTATTAAAATTTTATAGGGGATTTAGTATAATAAAATGTTAAAGGTCAAAATCTGATCCAGGTGTGTTGGTGTGTGCTCATAATCTCAGCTCTGGGTGTGCGGAATGATCAGGAACCCAAGACCAGCTTCGACTGACTCCCTATCCCTGAGAGGAAACAGATTCTGAAGATTCATGCCTAGATGAGTTTCTACTAAGGAGGGCGCTTTGCATCCCCGCCTATCTCCATGAAGTTATTTAAGCCATCTGAACCTAGCCACACACAGAGATCCATGCTTTTCCTGAGCCCTACCTAGTCTTAAGTCGGGAGGAGTAACCAAGGTAGTGCTGTATTGTAAACAACTTCCAATTATATAACCAGCCATCCAATACATGTGTGCCACAAATAGGTTTAGTTATCTCTAAGGAGACTACCCTTAACAAGTTATAACTAAATTCTCAAGTTTTTCTGCTTGGGTTTTTAATTAATGTACCTGCACAATAATTTCATCTGGTGAGGCAAAAACTGCTGATTAAATGTAATGCCTTTGCTTGATTTCTTCTTGGTTGTTGTTGCCAATTTATTTTTTCATTATTCATGTTGAAAGTAATAAAAAGATCTCCTGTGCCAAGGTAAAACTGTAGAGTGAGGCATAATTTCAGGATTGTGCTCTCACAAATAAAGCACAAAGCCAAGCAGAGAACAGTTTAGATGCTCGTTTTCCCTAGAAATGGGCAAGGGGTGAGGGCCAGCCAGCAAAGTCTTCTAGCACAGATGCTTTGGGGATCCCTGGCTAGATCAAATTACAATTCAGATAACCGCATACGCAGGACATGAAGGAAATCTCTACAGCACCAAATGTGTCCATCTTGACTAAGAGAGGTGGTAACTGAGTCTCAACAGCCACGTTAAACCTGAGAAACATCTTGCTACTGTGAACCAGTCTACTGATTTTTATAGCCATGATATTATTTCCAAAATTGAGACACACCAGTCCACAGGCTATGGCAAGGATTGTAAACAATATAGGCAAAGCGAATCAGCACCGCATCCGGCGAGTTCTATAATTCTAACATAATAATTACATCTTAAACCTACCCCATAACCCAGAGATTATTTTTCACTAATTAATTTTATGATTGATTCATCCCTAACCAAATCCTTCACCATTCCATAGTGGTGTGGAACACAGATCATGGTGCAAACCCTTAAACTTACTCGCCGCTCACTGGAATCACTTTTCCTAATGATGTGAGGGTTATAAGTACATTTTTTTTAAATGGGTAGAAACAGGAAGTAATTACACAGGTCCATCCTTGCAGGCAGATACTTAAAAACACTAAGTCCATACAGAATAATACCTGTTGTATTGTGGCATTAAAACGACAATGTAGGGAATTCAAAGTAGCTTCCCAAATTACATTTTAGTGGCCAATTTGCCAAA